GGAAGTACGTGCCAAATTTTCCCTCCATCTTTCCCTAAATTCGTCGATTTTTGTACATACAGAGAAAAAGGAAAATCATGTGGCCAATCACATGTTTTTCTTCTTCTTCCACCCAATATCTTTTTGCAGTATCTCAACCCCAAAAAAACCGGAATACACTGTTGTGATTCTCTCTCTCTACGTCAGAATCTTTTCTAATTTGTTGTGTCATATCAATTGTTTTTCGAAAATAAGCAGCGGAAATGATAAAGGAAGCTTTAGAAGGGGTCGAAATATTTTGAAAATTTGGGATCAAAATTTTAAAATTTTGATTTTGATCCTTTGAACTTTACATCTTGCTCGCGGAGCATCTCTTTATGACTCCATCAAAAACCCCATTAAAAATCCCCATTAAAAATTCGAGTGTAAATTTCGGCAAGAAACTTTTTCCCAACCAAACCACACAATTGTTTCTAGTTTTTCTAGTCTATTTTAATTAGATAATCTGATTAATGACCACCTGATTAGTAGTCAATCAAAGAACCAATGGGTTCAAAATGTGATGGATTACTGTAGATTGCAAAGAATGATCAGATAATTTTGCTGGCAGGGTACTGTAGGTAAAGTTTTGTCAGTAACATGGATATAGCAATCTTCAAAATCCAGGAAATGCTTAATGAGAATTTTGAAACAGTAATTTTTGGAATTCCTATCACTTTTTAAGTTTTCAACCGATTTTTGAGATTTTCGTATCAAAATGAAGACGAACTCAAGCGCTATGATAATGCCAAACTAATATTTTGAAATTTCTACAAGGAAACTTTGAAACAGTAATTTTTTGACTTATTTGGTGAGAAATCAATTTTTGCTTTTTCAAAAAAAATGGAAAACTTTGATTTCGAAAATTCGAACAAACAATTTATTTGAATTGCATCAGTCGAGTCACAATTGATCATGCGCAACATCAGCTTCAAGTTGCTCAATATAAATTGAAACATCAATTTTTTGAGAATTTTGAATTTTTGGTCAGTGAAGCGTTTTTTTTCACACAATTTGAATGGCTTTCAAATCATTTTTGAATTTTTAACAAAAAAAAAATTAAAAATATGTTTTCGTTGGTGAAATAAGACTTTGTTAGTTTTCGACCAATTTTCGCGATTTTTGCACTAAATTATAGGGAACACGAAGCTTTCGTGGAATGTAATTTAAATTCTTGTGATAGCAGTTTTCTCGTATACTGTTTGTTGTGAAGAGAGAATTTGAAACAGTTATTTTTTGAAATTCCTATAACTTGAAGTTTTCCACCGATTTTTCAGGTTTTTTAATTAAAATATAGGGGGTTTAAAGGTGGGGGGACATGAAAAAATAATGTTCTCGAAATTTCGTTTAAATATGCCCCTCGAGGAGTTGAACTTGTGAAGGCGATGATTGAGGGTGCGGCGCCGCTACCGACTGAGCCATGCGGGCAAAGAGAAAGCGGTCGCCCGATTGGATACATAAAGGGGACGACAGCTGTACGCAGAGTAACATTAAACGTTGTATACCGTCACGGTAGAATGCATACTCTGGCCCCAAAAATCCCCCGTAAAATCTCCTGTCCCCCCACCTTTAAAGTGCTTTAACATAGTTTAAGGGTATTCTAAGATACTCACTGAAAGTATTGAATGTTTCGGTTTTTACTTTTCAATTGAAACTGTAATTGTTTTCCTTTTTTCTGAATTTATCCCCCCCCCCCCCCCCCCACCAAGAATCAAAAAGTACCACAATTTTTATCTGTATGGCCATCCCAACCACATATCAAATCAATTAAGTCCATTTGTCCTTCCCAATTAGCTTCAATTAACCTCAAACACACAGTACTATCAGCTGCTGTTTTGTCCTTTTTCTCTCCTAAAAAAACAGGTCCATAAAACAAAAAAATTTAGAATATATCGAAAAGAATCTGAAAAACCGGTCCCAAAAGTCAAAAAATCAAAGCATGACACCTTTCTTTTGAAAAAAACGGACGTCACTTGGTCTATTGATAAGGAGAATTCGAAGAACAGTTCTCTGTTAGAGAACCTGCGTCTCTTCGTTTCCTGTACTCTCTCGTCTGATTGCGTTGACGGATACAAAGATACGAAGAATAGGGGGGACGGGGGCGAGAAGAAGAAGAAAGTGTGATAATGATTGATTGGAAAATGATAAGAGGAACGTTTGAAGGAAAAACAATTGAATCGATAAATTTGAAACAGTAATTTCTTGGGCGGTATTGAATGAGGACTAAAGAGGAAAAAATTGTTTAAAAAGTGTGCATTTTTTGAAACAGTAATTTTTTCCAATGACACATCACATATCGATACGGAACTGGAAGAGAAAAAAAGAGTTCAAAAAGTTCCAGTTCTTTGAAACAGCATTATTTTGAAACAGTAATTTTTAAAATTAGTGAAACGTTTGAAGTTGAACTAACGCTAGACACAACCCGAGTGAAAATTGAAAAAAAATTGCTGTTTCAAATGTTTTTTGAAACAGTAAATTTTGGTTTTGGCATTCAATGGTCGCGGTAGTCGAAATGAATTTTTCCTCTTTTTTCAAAATTTTAAATTTTCGCAGCAAACATTTAAAAAAAATTATATTTCCAACAAATACATTGGGCAGACTTTAGAAGAAAATTTGAAAAAAATTTCTGTTTCCAAAAATATTTTCGTAATTTTGTGATTTTTACATTATCAATGATATTAGAGACATAGTCGATTTGAAAAATCAGTAATTTTGAAAATTGCTGTTTCAAATTTTATTTGAAAATACACGAATGGTTGTCTACTTCAATTGTTGACATTCTGTTCCTGAAACATCGAAATTTGAAACAGTAATTTTTGAAATTCATATAAAGTTTTTAGTTTTCAACCGATTTTTGAGATTTACATATCAAATTGTAGGAGATTTGAAGCGCGTTTTTAAAATGTTTAAAACATTTAATTTCATTATCATGCTCAAAATCCGCTTATAGTAACTGAAACTGAATTGAAACAGCAATTTTTGGAAACTTTAAAAAAAATTTTCGGTTCATTGAAACTTATTTTTCACGAAATACGCACGATCAGTATTCTCCAGTCAAGTACTAAGTTTCGTTTAAATTTTGAAACAGTAATTTTTGAAAAATCATAAAGAACCTAACTTTTTCAGTTTTCAACCGATTTTAGGGATTTTTAAATTAAAATGCAGAGAATTTGAAGCGCTTTTAGAACATTTATTCATCATTTAGTGTCATTAGCATGCTCAAAATCCGCTCTTCTCCACTAAACCTGAATTAAAACAGTAATATTTGGAAAATATGAATTTTTTGGTCAGTGATACTTTTGTTTTCACATTATATTCGAAATCAGTATTCTCAAGCGCAGTGCTAATTGTTTTAAGAAATTTTGAAACAGTGTTTTTTGAAAAAAAAATTATCTTACAGTCAAATTGGCAACAATTTAGAGTCCTATTGCCGG